AATGAGAACCAAGACACATCATGTACAGGTACAAGATCCCAATGATGGATGTAACTGTATTGTATACCTAAAATGTACCGATAAAAGAATTTATGGGAAGAAAGAGAGAGAGAGAGAAGAATCTGGATTCTGGGCCTTATCAATGCTGCTCTGAGCAACAACGACGAAGGCACCCAGAGCTTGCCACTATTTATTGGGTTCATAGGGTGTAACAGATGACGGGGGAGGGGGGGGCGGGCGGGCGCGATAATCCTAAATTGACAAGGATCTTCTAATGGAGGAAGTATCAGATGTCTTGGAGGGTGGTGGTTATCCTATGACCATGAGGATCTTATCCTGATGAGAATCTTGCATTGATGAGAAGCTTATGTTGATTAGCAGTGAGATGAGCAAAGAAGTTCTTACAACAGTAGGTGGGGTGAGTTAAGCTGATAAGGAATTTGTCCCTCCCCAGGTAAAACCTTTCTCTTATTATTCGGTTCTTAAGGAACCAGGATATCTTCAACTGATGTAATCTTGCCCTTGAGTGTCACAGCATCACAAGACCATTGAGGACTCAGCTGTGACTGGACACAAAAATGTAGTCATGTTTTGGCATGTTATAGCCAGCCTGCAGGCAAGAAGACTAGGCCTAGTCATAATTTAGTTATGAAATCATTTTCCCCCAAAATTATGTAGAATGGCTCCAGACAGGGTAACATATATAGTATGGATACCCTGGACAAACGCGTGATTCGTATCATGGGAGGAACACAGCAGGATGGAGCAAGATTTCATTGTGTTACAAAGGAGGGTATATAATTTAATACTTAAGGATTATTATTTCTGGAATTTTCCATTTAATATCTTTAGACCTAATTTGAGCACAGGTAACTGAAACTGGGGAAAGCTGAAAGTGCAGATAAAAGGGAAATACTATATTATTATGTTCTGTTAGAAATGGTATGGAAATGGTCTCTGCTCTGCTTAAGAAATTAAACTAAATGATTATAAAGAGTTCTCTCCAATTCCATGATCTCACTGTTCTAGATCAAAGTGCACCCTTTCTCAGGTGGTACTGTCTTTTCACCTAAACCTGCACTCCTGTATAGAATCCTGATAATAACATTATTGCAGGAGAGAGGAATATAGTCCAAAGGAGGAAGTGCTCAAAGGTTACTGAGAACCTCTTGTAGGTTTCATTACCTTAAATAAGAATAATAGGAAGTAGGCTCCGGAGTGGCACTGGATACATAAATCATTTAACAATTTGAGGTCCTGGCACCTATACAAAGGGTGGGGCATGGATGAAGTTACAAGACAAAGAGGAAGAAGGACATTTTGCGCAGAGAATAAATTCTTGGGTGAGAAGAAGTGTGGTGAGAAAAAAGAACTGGGTGAAGGTCCCTGGGTGCAGTGAAGGGAGCAAGGTAGAGCATGGTTCAGATAAAGCTGGAGAGACTCTGGGCCTTGTGTTCATGTTAAGCAATATTGTATCTTAAAATAATGGGAAGGCTTCCAACACTTCAAACATTTCATTTAGAATAGGAAATGGGAGTGTGAAGATCAAATGAAGGGATCGCTCTAGGTACATTGTGGGAAATACAAATTAAAATGGTCACAGACAGAGTAATAAGAAGGCTTGTACAGGAGGCGATATTAGACCACATGGCAGAAGGGGAAGTAAGAAGAGTGGATTCAGAGAATGAATAGGAAGGTCAAAGCAGAGGGAAATGTCATGGTGACTCCATGCTCCAGCCTGCTCTGCAATGGCTATAATGCCTTCCAGTGAGCTGAGAACATAAAGAGGTTTGGAAGCAAACTCCAGAGTTTGATTTTGGCTGTGCTGTGTTTTGATGTCTGTGAGACTCCTAAGTGGAGATGTTGAGTAGGAAGTGGGATATGTGAGTCTAGAGCTCATAGGAGAGACTTGAGCTGGGGAAACATTTTGGCCATAAATCAATGACAGAATAAGAAGAGAAGAGAATCTATGGTTAAGCCATGATCATCTTAATTCATTTACCTGGGAAGAATAGGACAAAGCTGCATAAAAGCTATACAATGGGCAAAACCAGAAGAGTCTTATATCACTGCAACCAAGAAAAGTCAGCATTTGAGTTGAGTGTAGTTCAGTTGTAGGGTGCTAGCCTACCATACAAAAAATCCTAAGTTCAATCCCCCAGCACTACAGAGAGAAAGAGAGTTGGAGGAGGAAGAGTCAACAGTAGAGATTCTTGCCAAGAGGTCGAAGAAGGTGAATGATCCTGCTACAGACTGTTCTATTGGCCAATGAGGCAGGAACTGGTCTGACAGTAACCTGAGGAGTAAGTAGAAAACAAATAAGCAGTGTTTGCAAGTGTGGATATTCTTTCTAGAAGTTTCTGTGAAGAGGAAAGAATGTAATGGCTTGAGGAAAAGGAAATGTTGGGATACATGAAGAGTCTTCACTCACCTCACCGTCTGTGGGAGTCTTTTATGTGCCTTAAAGCTGGCAAGAAGAAACTAGTTACAAAGGAAAGATTGAATATGAAATAATGAAGTGTACAGCACAGGAGATGGATAAGGCGCTTTGGAAAGCCCAGGTGGCCTGGGGGACTTGCCTTTAGGCCAAGGACATGAGGAAGGTCATATTGTCCGGTCCTGGGTGTCACAAAGGGTGAGAACTTTCGTGGCACAGTGAAAACAGTTGACGGAGAGGAGAGGAGTTGGAATCAAAAACTCCAAGTTGCCCTCCGAGTTCAGTTTCAAGCAAAATATTTTTTTTAATTTTTATTTTATTGGTACATTTTAGGTATACAATATAATTACATGCATCATTGGAAATTTGCACATTTACATAATCTCTCTTGGTTCTTATTTTTCCCCCTTCCCCTCAAGCAAAATATTTATGAGCAGTTGGTAGGGTATTTCTGAAGAAAGCCTAAGTCAAGTGTCTCTGAGATAATCCTTGCCCAAACAAAAATTGCAGCTATCCCTCTGTGTTTAAGAGCTCGTGGATCCCTTCCAAGCTGAAATCCAGACCAATCATTTTATGAGAAAATGATATAAGCTGTTTCCTCATTCAGGCCTTAAAATTATCCCTTGGTGCCATACTATGTTGCAAATGAAGAAACTGAGATCAACCCTATGACTCACCTAACCAGAATGGGAGAGTCTGGAAGGCTCGGGGGTCCAAGTTTCCACATCTTCAGATGTGTAGAATATCTGGATAGCATGAGGCCATTATCAGAGATACCCATCCCAAGAGCTTACGATGTCATGGCAGGGAAGGAAATCTACTTTGTTCTCAGCATCTGCTGGGTGCCAGGCTCTGTGTCAGCAGCTTTTACAGACATTATTATATTTAATTTCCCTAACACTCTATCACAGCAGGATCTGAGTGTGTACCCAGGAGAGAAATCTGCCTTGCTGCTTTGCTGCACCAGGCTGGTTATTTTGCCTCCCCAGTGACTTTCATGTGTGGCTCAGGCTGAGCTACCAGGCCCATGAGGAGGTAAGTGTTTGAGGGTAAGGCAGGACATTTCCACAGTATTTCCACACTTGGTTCACTCCACTGTGAGAGAGAGTTTCTATTTTTATCCTCTCAATTTTCCTTTTTTCTAAGCTGCATTCCACACGACTATTTGTCATCATTGCCCAATAGGACCAAAATTCTCAAATGTCATAAGAATGAGGGATGCGAAAACTGAGTGAATCCTCACCAAGGACCTCATACATTGTTCTTCCCTAAGCCAACAATACCAATTCCCAATCCTCACCCTCATAGCACTCCTCATCTCTCCACTGACCTGGCCAGAGTGAGTCACTGAGTGGGGCTTCAAGGGAGAAGTGAGGTTTCCAAGAAATAGGGGCTAAGGGATCCATGTCCTCCCGCTTGGGACCCTTAGGATCAGCAGTTTCTTTGTCACCCTACCCTAACTGCAACACTTCCCATGAGGATATTCATGACTCCACTTTCATGTTATGAATTCCTACAACTTTTTCTGAGCATAGTAGTTTTCCAAGCTTTAGAACAAGGTGTTAGGAAAACTGTTAAGTAGAAAGCTGAAAACTGAACACAAAACTCATAAAAGTAGACCCCAAACTATTTGCTCTTGAGAAACAAAGCTCCAACCCCAAGGAATCTATTGCTTCACAAGGTAAATAAACGATGTGTATATAACCCAGAATACCTGGGGAATTGCTGAATGGGGCAGAGACTCAGAACTTGCTTCACTCCCATTGGAGAGGAATTCCTTCTCCCTTCCCTCTCCAGCCTTCACAGTCTTCTACTTCACTCCCTGCCTACACTCTTCCTCCTTGTAAAAGTAGGGGAGGCTTACTTCCCACAAGTTTGCACCAGCCATCCCCAATTGACTTCAGTATGTCAATCATTGATAATTCACTAAATACAAGCTACTCGGCCAACTAGAGAAAATTCCCTTTCATTACCTATCACCTGCCTCACTCATTAAGAATGAGGAATACAGTACTTTGCAAACATGTACTGTAGAAATGCTGAATAATAAGTACAACTAATAATAACCTTCAGGCCTAGGGAAAAAGTAGATTTTCCTGAGGTGGGTAAAATTACCTAAGGAGTACAATGAGTCTACTGAGTAAAGTGAGTCAGCATCCACACATTTGTGCTATTTGCAAAGTGAGAGTCTCTATTCAGCTTTCAAGCCACACCTGCATTCAAAACCTGTTTCTCAAAGACAAGGCCCTTGAAAGCTTTTCCTCTTTAATATACATACAGCATCGTCATATTCACTGGCATAATTTCAAGTGAAGGGCTCTTTTCCCAACAAGATCAAGCAGAATAAAAAAGTGTTGATGTGAAATCATCATGTGTTCAATTCATTCATTCATTCATTCATTTAGTGAGCATGTGCTTATGCCTGCTTTGCCTAAGGCGTTATGCCAAGCAGAGAGATACCAGAGTGAATAAGACAAGAGTCGTGCCCATGAGCCGCTCACAGCACACATGCAAGTCACGGCAGTCAATTGTTACAGGTACCATGAGAGAACCCAACAGGGACCTGAAATCCAGAGATGGGTGCCACACTTCACACAAGAGATGAGAACGAGCGACTTGGCCAAAAATGCATGACATTTCAGATTCAGATCCAAACACCACTTTTCTCCGGGTTCTGTCATGAAGTGACTCATCTTCCTAGATACAAAGGAATGTGTTATTCCTGCTAGTAATGAGAGACAAGTTTAAGAATTATGCTATTACCTGGATCAGTATGTGTGAGATGTTTCTAACTGAGTTTTGTATTTTCTTCTGCCGAACAATCCACACTAACTGTCAAACTCTTAGCTTCAGCTAATCTACCAATTAAATAAAGCAATGGTTCAATCCATTCTGCAAGAATTTAATGGCCACTAAATTTATACATCCTTGAGCTAGCTTCCCTTTTTAAAATAATTATGAGAGAATTTGGATAGGGTCTATAGTTTAGTTAACAGTATTATACCAATGTTAATTTTCTTAGTTGTGAAAGTTGTACTATAATTATATAGATATTAAAATCTGGTGACTTGGGTAAAACATACGAGTATATGGATGTGGATATATGGCAATACAGTTCTACATGTTTTGCAACTTCTCTATAAATTTTAAATTAGTTCAAAAAACTATATATATGTGTAGATATAAATATATATTTGTATTTTTATGAGTTCAATGTTGCTGAGAGTATATTTCACAAAGTATTATCAATTATAGGTAAGCTAAATATGGAAACTGAAAATAAGCATGTATAAACTTATATAAAAATTTGATTATAGAAGCACAAGTCATAATAGGTGAATCTTGGAAGCAGCCTATATGTCTATCAACAACTGAATGGTATTTATACGTGGTGAAGTACTACTCTATCATAAAGAAGGATAAATTTGAGTCATTTATAGGAAAATGGATGCACTTTGAGACCATAATGTTGTGAGATAAATCAAACACACCAGATTAAATATTGCAAGTTTCTCTTATATGAGAAACACAAAGTATAAATAAATTAAAGACAGAAATAAAAAAATACATAATATAAAACAGGAAGATAGATCTTTTGCAAAAGGGAAAGGGACCAAAAGATAAAAGAAGTGGAGAGGTACAGGAGAGGAAGGGATTTAAAAAATTAAGATGTGGCCAGGGATTTAGCTCAGTGGTTTTGGTGCCTGCCTCGCAAGCGGAAGGACCAGAGTTTGATCCCTGATACCAAAAAGAAAAAATAAAAATAAAAATAAAAAACTAAGATGTGTTACATACTTGTACCAACTCCCTGCGATGAGTATAATCACTATCAACTGCAAATATGTACTAAAAATTTTTTTAAATATAACAACTGGAGGGCCGGGTACTGCTACCTGCCTCGCAAGTGCAAGGTCCTGAGTTCGATCCCTGGTACCAAAAAGAAAAAAAAACTGGATAATTCCACAATATTTTCTTTTTCACATCCAAAGGTTTATTTACATGACAAAATGGAGAGTGATATTACCATGAGTGGAGAGACAGCCCTGGTTTTGTTTGGTTTAGGTTTTAGCACATGTTCGCAGTAGATAATGATTACATTTACCATGGAGCGTTGGTACATGTACACAACACTTAATTTTTTTCATTCCCTACCCCTCCCATCCCTCCCTGCTCCTTCCAACTCTTGGTCCCCTCCCCATTTTCAAAAGCTGTATTTCCTTTTTCCCTTCAACTTCTTTTCCATCCCCTTTCCCTCTCTCCCCCTCCCTCCATCTCATTTCCCTCCCATTTGAAAAAGATCTCCCTACTTCCTATTATCTATCTTTTATTTTGCTCTTTATTTATATTTTGGGTTTCCCATATATGAGAAATTATGTGATATTTAAACTTACATACCTGATTTATTTCACATAACATTATGGTCTCAAGGTGCATCCACAATGCACCTACAAATGCCTTATGGCTTATGACATAGTACTCCATTGTGTATAAATGCCACATTTTCTTTATCCATTCATCTGTTGATGGATATAGGCTATTTCCAAGATTTAGGAATTATGAATTGTGCTGCTATAAACATGGGTATGCACATGGCACTGAAATATGATTGTTTATTTGTGACAGGGTCTTGCTATGTAGTTCAGGCCAGACTTGAACTCACTATGTAGCCCAGGGTGGCCTCAAACTCACAACTATACTCCTGACCTGAGCTTTTCTTATTTGGTAGAGCTTTTTTTACTATTTCTTCAATTTCATTGCCAGATACTAGATAATTCAGGATTTTTGTGTTTTCTTGGCTCAGCTTTGGTAGTTCATATATATATAGGAATCTACCCATTTCTCCTGAATTCACCACTTTATTAGAATACAAGTCACAAAGTAGTTCTAATGATCTGTCTTTTGGTAGAGTCCATAGCGATTTCACCTTTTTCATTTCTAATTTTAAGATTGGCTAAAGGTTTGTCTATTTTATTTTGTGTTTCAAAGAACAAGTGCTTCAATTTATTTATTGTTTATGCTTTTTTTAGTCTCGGTTACATTCACGTCTGCTCCAATTTTATAATTTCCTTCTTTGTACTAACTTTGGATTTGGACTATTCTTGTTTTTCTAGGGTCCAGAAGTCCACCATTAGGTTATTTATTTGAACTTGCTCTCTTTTTCTGATGTGGGAGTTCACAGCTATAAATTTCCCTCTAAAGACTGCTTTCATTGTGTCCCATAGGTTCTACTATGTGGTATTGGCATTTTGTTTGGTTCTAGGGACTAATTTCTTCCTTGATTCACTCTGTGACCTATTGATTATACAAGAGGATATTGTTTAATTTCCATGTGTTTGCGTGATTTCTGTGGTTTCTCTTGCCATGATTTCTAAGTTTCATTGCATTATGACCTGATAATATGCATGAGATAATTTCAATTCTTTTACATTTACTTAAGCATGCTTTGTGGTCTGTTTTGGATAAAGTCCCATAAGCTGCTTTGTAGAATGTGTATTCTGTTATTGTTGGCTGAAACACTGTAGATACCTATTAAATCCATTTGTTCAAAGGCTTTTTCCAACTCTGTTATTTTTGTCAATTTTTGGTCTAGTTGATCTACTTGTGACAGTAGGGTATTGGGGCCTCCCATTATAATTGTTGGTGCTTTATCTGATTTTTATGTCCAGTAGTGTTTGTTTTATGAAATTGGGCATATATGTTAATAATTGTTATCTCTTCCTGTTGGACTGTTCCTTTAACCAATATGTAAGGACCTTTTTTGCCTCTTCTGATCAGTTTTGTCTTGTAATCCACTTTGTCTGAAATTAGAATAGCTACTCGTTTTTATTCAGCTTCTTGTTGCATGAAATATTGTTTTCCATCCTTTGATTTTTAACCTTTTTCTTTTTTAATAATACATGTTTCTTGTATACTGCACATTGTTGGGTTTTGTTTCTTGATCGGTTCTGCCAATCTGTTTCTTTTGATTGGGGAACTGAGACCATTCACACTGAGAGTTTGCACCAAAAGATATTGACTTATGCCTATCATTGCATTACTTTCCTGTTCCTGATTTCTTTTTCTTTTCTTTTCTTTCCTCCTTTCAGCTTAACTGCTCGCCCTTCCTGGTGTTTTCATTCTATGAAATTTTTTGGCATTGCTGGCTTCATTGCCCTCTTTCTTGGATATCCTTGAGAATTTTTGTAGTGCTGGTTTGGTGGTCATAAATTTCTTGAAGTGCACTTTGTCATGGAAATACCTTATTTCTCCATCAATTTTGAAGGAAAATTTTGCAAGATAAATAAGTCTGTGTAGGAAGTTGTCTTCGTTTATGGCTTCAAACACTTCACTCCATGCTCTCCTGGCCTTCAAGGCTTGTGTTGAGAAGTCTCCTATAATTCCAACAGGGTTACCTTTATAAGTGATTCACTGCGTTTCTCTAACCACTTTTAAGATTTTATCCCTGTGTTGGACTTCTGGTATTTTGACTATAATGTGATATGGAAAGGTTCTCTTTTGATCATGGCTATTTGGGGTTCTATATGCCCCACTTATCTGTATGCTTTTTTATTTCTCTATATTTGGAAATATATTTTCCCTATGTTTGCTGCTATTATTTCTGTAAAAATTTTTTATGTCACTTGTACTGTCTTCTAATTTCTCATTGATTGCAATTAATCTTAGATAAGACTTTTTTTAATTTTTATTTATCTATTTATTTAGTACCGGGGATCAAACTCTGGACTTTGCACTTGCAAGGCAGACACGGCGCCATTGAGCTAAATCCCAGGGCCAGTCCTGTTTATCATCATGGAAATAGAACATGGCTAATCATTAACCACTGTTTGAGTTGTGGGCTTCATCCCGCGCTACTCACACTCCTCATAAGGTCCGAAAAGTGACCTCATCCTTCTGAGCCTCTCTTTGTCCTGGTAAAAGCTGTGTGCCACAGCGAGGAGGATGCAAGGGTCGGAAGACCTCATTCCCATCTTGGTTCTGCCTTGCTTGTGTGGCTTGGAGCAGCCCCCAACTTCTCATCCCTTTATAAATCGGTTGGAGAAATCTGCCTGGAGTGCTCACCAGGGTTCTGAAGAATGTGCAGTTCACTCCCTGTCCTCGTGGAGCTCCAAGCATCACTCAGGAGACAGCCGTGGCACATGCAGTCACAACATTGAGTCATTAGTGTCAACTCCGAAGCGTGCGCTGAAGAGCAAGAGCAGTGCTATTGACAATCATGGAGAGGCCATCGTGGAGAGGAGCCTGGTGAGGTGCATGGAACGGGAAATCCCACGGCGGGCTTCTCTGAGGAAGTGACCTGTGGTCCAGAGGAGGTGACGTCAATCAGGCTGAGGCCACAGGCTCTCCAGCCTTGAGAATTTCTTCTCCATATTTCTCTTTTTTTCTTCTGCAGTACTGGCAGATCAAACCTGTTCTACCACTGTGCTATATCCCCAGCTTGTTTCATTTTTAATTTTTATTTACTCATTTATTTGAGACAAGGTCTCACTATATAGTTCAAACTGGCCTTGAACTCACTATGTAGCCCAGACTGGCCTTGAACTTGTGGAGATCCTCCTGTCTCAGCCTCCCAGAGTGCTGGGATTATAAGTGTACACCACCATATCTGGCTCCTTCTTTCAATTTAGGAAAAGCAAAACACATGTCACAGGGACTCAAGGGGTTCACCAGTAGATGCTTTGCCCTTTTTCCTTATTAGAGAATCCCTCTGGCACTCATAATAGCTGTACTTCTAGCAACCTTCCCAGATTCCCATGGCCTTGCAGTCAGTTCCAGACATCAGAAGGGCCACTTCTGAGCTACATCCTTAAAGGAAGGTGGCAAGTCGGTCTTCCCACCTCCTGTACCCTGTCACATGGAACAAGGTGGCGGTGGTGAGCTGTCCTTGGCCATGTGGGCACCTCTGAGGGTGATGGAGTAGTGGCTGGGCCTGAGCCACTATCCCTACCTGCCAATAGACCTGCTGTATCTGGGAGAGAAATCAACCACTATCTTGTTTAAGCCAGTTTTGAGGGAAAAGGGAAATAGATCTGTATTATATGTAGTTGAACTAAAATCCTAGCTAATATAGCATGCCTTGGAGAACACTGAAGTGGAATAAAGAGAACATAGGGCTGGGTTGTAGCTCCATGGTAAGCACTTCCTTAGCATGCACAAGGCCCTGTGTTCAATCACCAGCACCAAAAAAAAAAAAAGGTGAAAAATAATTCTTCTAATTACCCGACCTCCTCAAAATTGGTTTTAAGACATCTTAATACATACAGCCAAACATCAAACGTCAAGTGTAAAGTGCACAGTGCCTGACAGAGTAGGACCAGGCAATGGTTTGCTGCAATCATTGCACTTTTATCAATGTATTTGAGGCCTCACTGCTTTCATATTGCTGACTTTTTGTATTGTTTTATGGCATCTAAGATCATTTTAAAATCTAGCTCCATTGTGTGAGCCAGGTTGGAGTACATCCAGAGCTCTGGTTTTACAGGGGTTTTTTCCATTGAGTTTATTGGTACATTTTAGGTATAAACTACAGTTACATTCATCATTTGGATCTTGTATCTTTACAGGATGTATCTTGGTTCTTATTTTTTCCCCATTCCCCTGCCCTCCCTTCACCTGCTCCACTCTTCCCTATTTACAAAGACTTTGTTTCCATTTTTTTCCTTTTCTCATATTTTTTCTTTTCCCTCTTTCCTTTCCCCTACCTCTCCCACTTCCCCTACTCCTTTAGACCTTTTCTTCCTATTTCACAATATCAATTCTACATTTTAATAATTTTAATCCTTACTTAAACTTTCAGTTTCTCACTAGAGAAACTTCAGTATTTATACGTGTGTCCTATTTATTTCACTTAAGAGTTTCGGCTCAATGTGCATCCATTTAGCTATAAATGTCTCTAGTTTCTCATTCTTTATGGCTGAGTAGTACTCTATTTTATTTTTTTAAAGAAACTACATTTTCTTTATCCAGTCAAACAAAGTTTTTGGCTTTGGCAGAGTTAGAAGTTTGAAGAGGCATTTTATTGCCTTGTCTTCTCATATTTTTGCTGTTTGTTGTTTATTAGTTCTGGGCATGGCTAACTATAGTCCTTTGCCTCTGTTCCAAGATTCAACAACTCCTGTTAATTTGAGAGGGGAGAATGCAGTGCCACTGGCCCAATACCCAGTTCTCTGGGAATAGACCACAGTATGGTTAACGTCACAAAGGTTATCCAGTGTTGGCATACAGAAAAAACCCATTAATAGTAACAATTATGCAAGGTTGGTAATAGCAAACAAACCAGCAACAGTAAGATCATCCAAGACAATATGGATATAGACACACAATAAAAAACAATAATGTACCATTCTTAATCATAGACAAGAAATCCACAATTATATTATAAAGACTATGACAACTCAGATACTGATGTACAGCAAATATGTACTAAATACAACTATACCTTCATGAATGATAGAAAAGAATCAACAGTAATAGCATAGAGTTAACCATCTAAAGATTAATAAAGCTTAATTGTTATAACACTAAAGACATAGGGGGCTGGGGAGGGGAGAATGTTTTGAAATATTAAACAGTGGGAGATGAGAAGGAAGACAGAGAAGACATATAAAGGATCCTATTAAGAAGCAGAAGGATATTTATAGAATTAGATAAAGGTAACTAAAAAATGAAAAATAGAAGATAAAAGAAAAAGAAAAGGAGGAGGAAAGAAGGAGAAGGAGGAGGAGGAGGAGAAATCCTGAGAATAAAAATAAGAAAAAGTAAAAGGAGAAAAGAAAGGAAAAAAGTAATTAACAAAGGAAGAAAGACAAAGGAAAATTCCCTAGATCACAATAAACCAGTAAAGAAGCCAGGTGTGGTGCTGCACACCTATAATCCCAGCACTTGGGAGGCTAAGGCAGGAGGATCACTGTGAGTTCGAGTCCAGCCTGGGCTACATAGTAAGTTCAGACCCTGTCTCAAAAAAAAAAAAAAAAAAAAAAAAAAAAAAGAAACAATAAAGGAGGAGAAAAAAAGGAAAAAACAAAATCTAAAAACAGAAAAAAATGTGTATTTTTGAATGAGTGGTTTCCTTCCTGGATCCATGCAGTTTTGGGATCCAGTAATTCACAGTTTTATTTACCTAGCCTTATTGCCTAGAGGCCCCTCTATTTACCCCAGCATGTGCAAATGTCCAAGCCAAGATGTGCCCCCATTCATGCTGGTATATAAGGAAGACATTCCCACATCTGTCAGCTGATAAGAAAGGCAATCAGGCCCCAGATCCATGCTGGATGTAGGCAGTAGGCCAGGGGCTCAAGTACTCAATGCTGGCATTTTCAGACCAGCACAACTCAAGCCAGGGCTAGCCTTTCACCATGGGGGATGGGGCTCATGTCTCTCCTGCCCTAAGTTTACACCCCTCTGGGGGTCTCTTTCCAGCCCACTCCCTGTCCATTAGTATGTCCCCCATAGCTGTCTCTCACCCAGTCACTATGACAGGTTAACACTGGGAACTCTGAAGTGAAGCCATCCCCTAGCTATCCTGAATCACAGATTCAAACAATCATAATGGCACCCATCCAAACACTCTCCAGCAATGTGACAGGCACCTGTGATGGGATCCTCTCCAGCTGTTGCCTCCCATTTAGAAGTAACACTCAAAGAGCAAAATCCCACCCTAAGAGCAAATCATAAAAACTATGGGATCCCCAAGAGCCCATGTCATTAACCCAGTCCACTACCACCATTTCTCTCTGGAACCCCCAGCACTCACCTAGCTTCCATAAAACCAGGCTCCCTGCTCCATGAACTGCAAACCAGAAGCTGGGGAGAGAATCAGACTGTTTCATTCCCTTCTCTGTGTTGTAGCCTATCTGTCACACTTCTCCACAGCTTTTCATTTTCTTGTCAGTTCCTTTCCAATTCTTGGCAATCTACTCTTCTATTTCCTTCCCCAAGTTGTTATTTTCTAGTGTCTGGATTCTAGATCTCGGAGAGGCTGAATTTTTCTGCCACTCACCACTCCCCATCTTGATTCTTAATATTCCTACAATAATTAACCATATGTTCTTTTCTGCAGAAATTCATTTTTATTGTGATTTTTTTAAACATTGATGTGTATTTGGGCTCTTCAGAGAATCAGAACCAACAGGAGATAGATAGATAGATAGATAGATAGATAGATAGATAGATAGATAGATAGACAGACAGACAGAGAGATAGATACTCACTTTAAGGAATTGGTTCATGCAGTTGAAAAGGCTTTCTGTGTCTAGAATCTGATAGGACAGGCTAGTAGGATGGAGATTCAGGAAAGAGATGCAGAATCCAAAGGCAGTCTGCTAACAGAAGTACTTCTTTCATCAGGAGAGGTCAGTGTTTGTTCCTGCAAGCCCTTCAACTGATTAGATAAGGCCCACTACATAAAAGAGCATAATTTGCTTTACTCAAAGCCTACTGATTTAAATGTTAATTTCATCCCAAAACTAACTTTATGGAAACATCCAGAATAATATTTGATCTACTGTCTGGTTACCAGAGTCTGGGCAAGGTGGCGCATAAAATGAACCATTATACAGTACATGACAAGTTAGGTAAAAACTTTAAGCCATTCACTGGAAATAGTTTGAGAAGCATTAATAGTCTACCAACAGTTGCATTAATAAAAAATATTCATACTAAGAATGTTTATTTTATGTGAGAATTGGGAAAAATACTTGGAGCAGTGTCCTGGTTGGGATAGGGAAACAAAAATCTAACCATCTTTTTATTCTGACCAGTGAGCCTGAGCCATTAAAAGCTTAAGCTTTCAATTCTGGGCAACAAGGGCAAGGCAGGGGGTATCATAACCCCTAACTTGAAATTACACTACAAAGCTACAGCGAAAAAAACCAGCATGGTACTGGCAAAAAAATAAAAAAATTAAAAACAGATCTGAGGACCAGTGGAATAGCATAGAAGATGCAGAAACAACTCCAGTCACACTGAGCTACCTCATCTTTGATAAAGGAGCCAAACACCTTCACTGGAGGAAAGATGGCCTCTTTAATAAATGGTGCTGGGAAAACTGGCTTTCCACCTGCTGAAGAATAAACCTAGACCCATATCTCTCACCATGCAGTAAACTAAAATAGAAATGGATCAAGGATCTAAATATTAGAACAGAAACACTAAATCTGCTGGAAGATAGAATAGGTAAAACTCTTGAAGACATAGGTGTAGGCAAAGACTTTATGAACAAAACCCAAATCACACAGGAAATACTACAAAGAATCAACAACTGAGATTATATCAAAGAAAGCTTTTTCACAGCAAAAGAAACTACCAACAGAGTGAAAAGACAACCCACAGACCAGCTACTCCTCTAGACTAATATCTAGAATATATATTTTTTTAAACTTTTAAAAATCAGACCTCCCAAATTTAAAGACCCAATCCAAAACTAAGCATCTGAAATGAATAGATGCTTCTCAGATAAAGAAGTATAAATAACAAATAAATATATGAAAAAATGTTCAACATCACTGGTCATTCACAAAATGCAAATTAAAACAAAACAGATTCCAGAAAGAATGGCTGTCATCAAGAAATCAACCTATAACAAATGCTGGTGAGGCTGAGGAAAAAAAGAAACCCTTCTCCATTGTTGGTAGAAGTGTAAGTTGGTACATTCACTATGGAAATCAGTATGGAGATTTCTCAAAAAACTAAAACTAGAGGTTCCATTTGACCCAGCTATTTCCCTTCTAGATAGCTTCCCCCAAAGAGTTAAAAGTATCATACCACAGTGATATGTACGCATACCCATATTTATAGCAGCATAACTTATAATAGCTAAATCTTGGAAATAGCTTGTATGCTCATCAACAGATGAATGGATAAAGAAAATGTGGTTATATACAATGGAGTACTACTATGCCATAAATAAGGATAACCTAGAGTCATTGTTAAGTAAATGGATGCACCTCAAGACTGTAATTTTAAGTGAAATAAATCACACACACAAGTTTAAATATCACTTCTCTTGTGTCAGAAACCTAAAGGGTAAGTAAGGAGCAAAATGGAGGAGCAATACTAGGAAGAAGGAAGAACATGTTCAAATGGGAAGGAGAACAAGGGAGAGAGGTGGGGGAAGGGAAGGATGGAAAAGGGATTTTTAAAAAGAGAGTGGAAGCGGGCCGGGGATGTAGCTCAGTGGTACCACCGCCTGCCTCGCAAGCGCAGGGTCTCGAGTTTGAGCCCCAGTACCAGAAGAAAAAAAAAGAGAGAGAGAGAGAATGGAAAGAAAAAATGGAAAGAAAGCTTTTTAAATGGAGAGGGGAAAAGGATCAAAGGGAACAAAAGAAGAACTAAGATATATTATATCCAGGTACAAATTCCCTATGATGAATGTGATCATTACATATGGCAAATATGTATTGTACTAACAAATAAAGTTCACAAAAAAATAAAAAAGTTTAAGCTTTGCCCAATGGACACAATTCATATTGCTCTAATCAGGAATTCCCCAGCCGGGATTCAGCTCAGTGTTTCCACTGCCTGCCTCACAAGCGCAAGGTCCCGAGTTCAATCTCCGGTACCAAAAACAAAAAGAATTTGCAAAATGTCTTAATTCACAGCATTTTTAAAGTCTCTGTAATTTTTTTCACAGAGTGCCTAGACCAAAATATTTCCCTAACAGATATTTTATTTATCTAGTAGTCAGGTCCCAACAACTGAACTCTTTGGAAAAAAATAATACTCACAAACTGAAAAAAAATACATTTTTATTTCATTCTTAATTGCACTTAAGGGCCAGGGATTTAGCTCAATAGCACCGCCCCTGCTTGGCAAGCACAATGTCCTGAGTTCAATCCCTGGTACCAAAAAAAAAAAAAAAAAATTGCACTTAAGAATGAAATTGGAATTAAGTAAAAGGATGTGTATATATCAATTGGGTAACAGATGTCTTCGTAAGCCTTGGGACCCTATGGTCTGTTTCCACACTGATTTCTGCTGGTGCTTGTATTTTATAACAATTCCTGAATATCCACCCTGTCAATGATAAGACATCTTTGAAAGAAATGTAGCATAATCTCATGTTGAAACTGTGAACTACCTTTGAAAACTTTGAGTAGGAGCTCATTTGCTGTCCAGTAGATGTCAAGAATCACTCTGGTTCCCTGGAAATTTAAAATATGCTGTGGAGTCCTGTGAGTTTGTCTTTTTCTAATTTTGATTCTGTTTTCCTATTTGCAAAATGTAAGCATCTACTGTAAATGTCCAGCAACCACCACTGTTAAACCTACCATTAAGCAGAACATGACATTCACTGTCATGGTATAAAGCTCTGGCTTTGCATTGCTAATGTTGGAGAAGGTGTATGTCTTAGTTACTTTCCCTGTGACTCAATACTTGACACCCATAACTTAAACGAGGAGAGGTTTATTTTGTAGAGGCTTCTGTTTGTAGTCAGCTGGCTCTAAGGCCGGGCAGCACAGCAGAGGAGAACTGTTCAGGGCACAGTAGGTAGGAGAGAGAGAGAGAGAGAGAGAGAGAGACAGAGAGAGAGAGAAAGAGAGAGAGATTAAGGGATGAAGAAGGGAGATACATCCTTTCAAATCACCCTCAGTGATCCACCTCCGACCAGGTCTCACCTCCCAACACACCAAGCTATAAACTCATCAGCACACTAATCCACTGATAAGTATCACACCCCCATGATCCAGTTGCCTCCCAAAAGCCCTACCTTTGAGAGCATAAGGCTTTAGGGGAACATCTAGATATTAACCATAATACTTTGCCCCTGGGCCCCAAAAGACTCATACTCATCACTTCATGCAAAATGCATTTGGTTCATCTCTAAAAGTTGCCAAAGTCCTAACAATTTCAACAGTGCTGAAAAGTCTTAAGTCCAGAGTCTCTTCTGCTAATGTTTCAGAAGTAGTATACTCCCTTTCCAGTCTTTACCTGGGAACGCAGTAGAGAACTAAATGGCCCTCAATGGTCAAGCATCCAAAACAGGCGTCAAAGAAAACATGGCAGATTCTTTCACTCTGTTGTATATTTAAATGAGAATATAATTCTCTTTTTTTTTGGTACTGGAGATTGAACTCGGGACCTTGCACTTGCGAGGCAGGCGGCGGAACCACTGAGCTAAATCCCCAGCCCTCTCCATAACTATTAACCATCCTCAACCTTACCTTAATCTAGTCTTGATTTTTCTGTCCATTTATATTTATTTCACTCACCTTGAATTCTTGTTATTGTAGCCCAAAGTCTCTTGGATTATGTCAGTGACCTTGACAACAGTTCTTTGAGGCTTAAATATAGCTTGAAATCAAAACCCCTTGTTTTTCCTTCTGAGCCAATAGTTTCTCTTCTTCATTAGGGTTGAAATGATCGTAATATGAGTTACTTATCCTGTTGGGCTGATGTGAATAGGTGGAAAGATACCTTCTGTCTCCTGTTCCTAGCTTTTTCCCAGTCCATTTTCTATAGGCAGAGGAGACACGGCCATGTTTCCTTTTGTGAAGCTCTCTTAGCTTCTACTATTTACTAACAGCTACATACAGTTGATACATCCTGTCTCTGATATTAAGCTACTGTTTTGTAACAGAGCCCATATTCCCTTTCAGGGATAAATCCAAGCTTATCAGAAGACACTTCTAAAAACCAATTTCCTAATAAACAACACAATTTTAGAGAGCAGCTCTGCATGGGAGGACAGGTGTCTGAGGCTAGAATTCAGTGGAGCAATGCCCTCCCTGGAACCCGTCTCTACCAGACTGATGTGGAACTTCTCAAAAAGGAAGCTTTTTGCTGGGGCTTTCTGTAAGTCAGATGTCAATAAATACACTGAATTCTCTAGACTTTTTCCTGTTTAGCAGTTTGAACATGTCGCGAGTTGGGCACTTTTTTCATGCAACTACAGTACTTTCCACTGGAGTGGGGGATCCCCATTTGGAGCAGGTATCCCAGAAACCACTTTGGTGTGTTTAGACTCCAGCTGGCACAGCCTTTGGTGGGAAGGCTGATGGATAATGCTCAGTAAAAATTAAAAACCTGTGAAAAGTACAGGCCCTGGGGCTAGAACAAAGCAGTTGAGTGATGGTTCCTTCCGGAAGCAGGAGTGGGAGCTTTTTCTTACCCTGCTCCTGTGGACAAAAGCGAAGTCTATACTCCTTTGCAGCAGTGACTCATACTCCATCAGAGAGTCGCCTGCTCCTGCAGAGCTCATCCCCAGCATGGTAAATGAGAGTAACATGGTAAGTGAGAGGTGACAGAAGAAGAAACAGAAAAAGTAAAAGCAAACCCCCAAGCATGACTGGCACTGGAAAACAGAAAGGAGTTTTCAGAAGCAGTGAAAGAAGCCAGCCCACCCCACAGATCTCCCTCAGACACATTTTCTTCCTTTCTGACTCATCGAGTTTCTTTAGGGACGCCTGGTTAGAAGGGATTAAGAAGCAGGAGAGGGAGCCAGCCTTTTCTGGCAGCACCAGGCACTTTGATTTCAGGTTCTGCAAATCTTCGAGAACAGACTCAGCGTGCCTGTGTTCTAGGCTGGAGTCCAGCAGCAGTTCGGCTACAGATGAAGCAGATCAGATGATCGGAGCTGTCAGCCAGAGACTGAAGGACTTCCCTGGGACTACACCTCTCTGCAAGTCTGAAGATGTGGGGCACAGGTTTACCTTCTAAAATGTGCAAATGTCACCAGCCGGGGATGGAAGATGCCAAAAAACAGATCTCCATCTGGCAAGAGGTTAGGCTTCCTGGGACACACATTAAGATAGTTTGAAACAAAGTGGAGGAAACACCCGCTCAGCTTTTTACATATTGTTAAGGTCTCTGGGTCATTTCCTGCCTTTGGAACACATTTCCTTTCCAGGTTCAGCAAAGACTGATGAAGGACAGGAAAGAGGTTGGGGTGGGTCTTTGCTTCCGGCCCAGGGAAGGGCTGCTGTGCCTCCACAAGGCGCTGTCTGTAGGGTCTGCAGGTCTGTCCTGCTGTGTGCCTGTCTGTCCACACTGAGCCCAAAGGGAGAAAGCCTTAGGAATGGAACAGTAAATTAGGAAAGGGAGCTATGTCTGGTTGAGTCAGGTGGATCTTCTTGTTCCTAGAAAACAGAAAAGGAAAGAATAGATTGGGAAGAGCAAAAAAATGATGTTTCTTTCCCACCAGCACCCCCTTCAAAGATGCAGACTCCCCCAACTCCATCCTATCCCAACCTCAAGGTTGGAGGCTGAAAGCAGCTCTACAGAGCTGGGCCCTGACCTTCTGGAGTTAGCCAGCAGGCCAGCTAGATACTCAGGACACTTAATGCTTGCTGAACAATGACCTGCTTTGTTGTATTTTACTAGTTTTTATTTCACATTTTGTTCCAACAAGGATTTAAGATAGCAATAACTGCCTTTCTGGCAGCATTTTTTAGGCTTATTTTGAGCACTGTGAAACTGACAGGAATTCTTATTGCAAAATCTTTCTGCAGCTCTGAGCATGCTCTGAACACCCACTGCAGTTCTAAAATGCAGAGATTCCCCCAAGGGCAATCCTCTGGCCTCAAGGGCCGCAGGAACTAGGCAAAAATGTGGTTCCCAATGCGACTGCCATTTCTCAGAAAGTGATGCATCATCTTAAGTTCCTTCTGCAAAGCCAGCCACCACAGCCTTTGTCATCAGGAGGAATGCTGTATAAAGTCTCCAGAATCTATATTTCTCTGGACTGAGAGGTCAGAGTCCATAGCTTTAGAAGGTCTCATTTTTGCCCCAACCCTCAGTCCAAACGCAACTAATCTGGCAGCGAATGCTACACAGGGGAAGAGGTAACTGGTGAACAGCCTTTTCCTAGTTGCACCTAATCCCCAGGAAAACATCCAGAGCTTGGCCTCTATCGGTTTAAATAGTCTCTGCTCGAGCTGCAGGTGCCACCACTGTTGGGGGCTGGTAGGGAGGACTGCTGTCTTGGGTTCTCATTTTGGCTCAGGAATCAATCACATGGCCCTTTCTGAATAGCTTTGGCTCAGCAGATGTTCACAGAAATGGCCTCCGGCGACCTTCACAACAATTGTTTCTGTGAACATTTAGTAAGTTCTAGGGGAAGTAAGTAAGTAGCTATGGCAGCAATGACTCCATAAATAGCAGGGTCAGATCACCTGTGGAGGATGATTTTCAAAGCAGCAAGATGTCTGCCCTCAGTGGAACTGGATGGGGACGTTATGTTAAGTGAAATAAACTGAGCACAAAAGGAAAAACACTGCATGATCTCACTCATATGTGGAATCTAAAAAGTTGATCCCATAGAATTTGAGAGTGCAGTAGTGGTTACCAGGGGCTGGGGAAAGTAGGTGGGAGGGAGGGCTGGGGAAAGGCCCATCAGTGGGTACTAAGTTACAGGTAGGAGAAGTAAGTTTTGGTGTGCTGTTGCACAGGAGGATGGCTGGAGATAATGATAATGTACTGTATATTTCAAAAAAGCTAGAAGAAAGGATTTGCAATGTTTCCAGAACAAAAATTTGAACATTACATAATGGATGCATGTGTTGAAATATCACATGGTACCCCATAAATATGTATAATTTTCATATGTCAATTTTTTTAAAAACTAACTTCAAAAAAAATTCTTCCTTCAAAGAAGAATAAGGAGAAAGAGGAGGAGAAGAAGAGGACAAGGAGGAAAAGGTGAAAGTCTGCTCAAAAGCTCCAACTCTCCCCCACAAAATACACTCTGACAGATTTAGAGTGTTTCCTAGAATGGGTAAATTCATAAATAATTGCTTTCAAATTTCAGAAAGTCGGGCTGGGATTTAGCTCAGTGATTCCACCGCCTGGCCCACAAGCACAAGGACCTGGGTTCGATCCCCGGTACCAAAATAAATAAATAAATAAATAAATTTTTAAAACATTTTCAGAAAGTCCAGTTGCAGGAGCCCAGATTCTAAGTCCCTCTACTAATGCTGATCTAGGGCCTATATTGTGGGAAACTGCTTTCTAAGGAATGAAACACTGTCACACAAGCCTGGGTGAGCTGAGAATCCAGTCAGAAGGATCCTGCACACTCATTGAAGTTTTTCAGTGCTGAAAACCCCAGAGGAGGCCCCTGTTGCCCTAGAGCTGCAGCACTGGAACTCCAAAGTTTGAGAACACCAGAACCGTAACAGTAAGAACATCTTTCTTTGCCCTCAGCCATTCTCTAGGAGGAAAACAAGGAAAGAGGGAAGAGCATTTATTTAGTATGTGTTATCATTAATTCCACCTTGAAGTTGCCATTTATCAATTTGGAATAAACAGATGAAGCCTTTTCCCCCCAGAGGAGCAGAGAATTGACAATCAAAAAGGCTGTATAACTTGCCCAGTCCCCAAGGTCATGTAACTATTGAAAGCTTAAACTCATGTCTGTCAAGATCCAAGATCCATGTTCTTTCCACAAAAACACGCACAACTAAAAGTTTCAAGGAGGCAAATCTGAAGGTCTGGTATTTTGAGACCCTCAAAATACCCTCTCCTCTCCCTGGGCTTCATCACATCCTTTGAGCTCTACTCCATTCCTAACTTTCAATCAATCCCTCAACTTCATTACTGTATTTCTTATCCCCATAACTTCTTCACTCTCAAGTATAAAACCTTATGCTGCCACCTCTCCTAGGCACAAGAGGACTTTTTTGGTGCACAGCTACTCCAGCCACTGATTTCAAGATCAATGAGTCCTAGAGAACTCAGAGTATCCCTAGAAATTTCCATGACTTAAGAGGCATTTGTGCTGTTACTAATTTGATCCCCGAACCCATGTTCTCAACTCATAGCAGAAATACAGGAAGCCTGGGTCAGCCAGTGCCCTGCTATGAGGAGGTGCCCCATAGAACCTCAATTTCCTAATAATAGTCATTATTCCAGGATGCTGGGGCACCCCCTAGTGGGAGGAATGAAGAGAGAAGCCAGATTTTTGCTGCTATTCTCAATAAACATCCACCCCCAACTTCCTGCCCTTCAACTGCCTTCCAGCCCATCTCCCAGTTCATAGAATGATTCATTCTTCCCACAATGACTGGGCCTTTTGCCCCCATAAAGTCCTCCTTGTCTTTACAGACGTAATGAACTAAAATTAAGCAGAAGGCAACTCAGGCAGAACACCAGGAAAACCTTCCTATAGTGAGAGCTTGAAACCATGAAACAGCCTTATAAGGAAAACTAAGTAAGCCCTAACTGCACAAGGCAGAACAATAGCGAATATACTAGAGGTGGTGGGAAGTGAGTGAGGAGAATTAGGGAATAGCTACTTCCCAGATTTCATGTTAATGCTTCCATGACTTGTATTAATGCTGTATACCCACCCAAAGCCAAAGGAATATCTAACATGTATCCATTTAGAATAAACGATGAAGCCTTGTCCCAGCAGAGAGGTAGCCCAGTCGTGGACCAACACTGTATATGACTGTGGGACATTCTGAACATTTGTCTACCACCTCCTACTCCTTTAAAGTCCACTACCATAGACTGCCTTGGCATTATTATTATGTTGTAACCAATAAAGTATTTTCTGAGTACCTATAATATACTAGACTCAAAGATCTCTTCCATTTGTAAGATCTGCCCACATCTATTTTAATCTTTGATCCAAAGAAAGGCCTTAATAAAAGACAAGGCGAGGATTGAAGGTATAACTCACTGGTAGAGCACTTGCCTAGCATATGCAAGGTCCTGGACTTGATGCCCAGCATTTAGAAAACAAACAAACAAGAAAAAAGATGGGGAGGGCCGGGGATTTAGCTCAGTGGTTCCAGCGCCTGTCTTGCAAGCACAAGGTCCCAAGTTCGATCCCTGGTACAAAAAGAAAAAAGAAAAAGATGGGGAGAGCTAACTTGTTTGAGCACATACATTATTGTGGGCGTTTTTACAGTCCTTAAGTTAGCTCAGTGTTTGGTAGCTTGTTCACTGGTCTGGGGTCAGCCAATCTCACTGCACAACCCAATGCCTGTTCCTAGGGAACATTACAACTATACAGCACCTCACCTCCATGGACAGCTTCAGTTGCTATGCTTTGACTTGTTCCTAGATTTGAGTCATCAGCTCATTAGTGCCCATTCAACTTGGCCTCCTCTAGTAAATTCCCCCAAATCTTGCTCGTACTGCTGCCAATTTTGGTGCACAATCTTTTCTGCTGTACGTCCTGCCTCATCTTGAGCTTAGTGGCTTGGGCAGTCTACTCTCACAACTGCTTACAATGTAATCCCTTTCATCTTTTCTTTCAGAGCCATTGGGTGATATTCATCTTTCTGACAACTGCAAACTTTGGGAGAATCTCTCCCCCAAGGCACTCTCATGTTTGTGTCTAGATTGGCAGCCTTCCAAACTCACCAGAGCCATCATAGAATGAAACTCTCTGTGGAGCGCTGCAGGATAAATTGGACACAAGTTCACTGGACATCTGAGAGAAAGAAGAAAGGTCAAAGATGCTCTAGCTTGGTTACCCTCTCCAGCCTGACAGCAAAAAGCTAGAATTCCTTCTTGTATAATCTGGGCTTGAATTAAAGGCATTTTTCAGCCTCTCAGAGACCTTTGGCCTGCACTCTGAGTGGACGAGTCAGTGGGTGGAACAAGGCTCTCAGTTGGCAGGAAAGGACACACTGACCTCTGGACCCCCTCCCTTTTCCAACCTGGGGAAACACAAAAGCTGTAGGGAGTCATTTGAGTCCTTTTGTCAGAGTAGAGAATGTTCTAAATGGTATGAACTGGCCCCGTCTTAGTAAAGAAGAGTGGTGATATGTTTATGTGCTCAGAGGAGGAAAACCTATGGGAAGAAAGTGAAAATTGTAAGGAATAAACCAAACTAGTTGTGACTTTGGATGGCTGGCAGAGAATCCTCAGAGAAGAAGCCTCAGCTCTGTCAGAGAAGGGACCTTTCACTACTGTTGTCTTTATTTCAGAGGAAATAAAAACTAAATCATAAATCTAAAGATGAATATATATTTCACCTGGGGAGAAAACTACCAAGACGTTATATTTTAAACAAATACTAGGATAAAAAAAAGAACACTTTTAACTTGCCAGAGAAAGTGTGTCTTTCCTGTAACTCATCATGGATCAGATAAGACACCAAAAAAAGAAAAGGTTACACAATTTT